AATTATCTAATAGCCGAATCCTTTTCTGAATTAGTATTATTCCGGTCATGTCTAACAACCATACTAATCCCTCAGCCTCTTCCTTTTGTCCCATGAATTGATTCCTTGCCCGTCCTCTAAGTAATTATTTAATTTGTTTCGAAGAAAAGGGAGTCCAACAGGCTCTAATTAATAAGTACTATTGCTATGTTTCGGCTTTCGAGGATTCGAATAACCACAGTTAATTAAACTGTGAATGGCTCTTGTGTACTTGTGTATACTTGAAGCTACCACGACTTCATTGCTGAATTTGGAACAAATAGAAATACACTCTTATTTTCTGTTTTGAAAAAATAAAAATTAATTCAAACGTAGATTTAATTCTACAATTTTGTCTTTATCCCATCAACCAATACCCGTTTCTCTTCTGTCTCTTCTATAGGATACCAGCCAAACTCAATCCCATGAACATATTTGGTATTGAATTAATGGGTTTAAATTTTAAAAAATAATAATAACAATTTTAGGGTGAAAAAAGAAAAACAGTAAAGGGGATTAAAATCTAAACCCAGGGAGATTATTTTTTAACCTTGAGCGAGGGAGGGTGGGGGTAAGGATAAAGGCTTTTATTTTTTATTTCTTTCTCGGAATTATAACTCATTTCCTACACCTCTTGTTCATCCTAACATTTAATATGCCTTACATATTTTTTTTCTTTTTAATTAAAATTATGTTTTAACTCTCTGCTGTAAAATATTTTCTTAAAAAAAAAAGATCTCCATCCTTTCCATTACTTAAGTACCAATTCTTCTCCATTTTCTGACATCTTTCCTAAATATGGTTTGTGGAAGTGTTTAAGAGTGAGTTTGAATCTATATTTTTATCAAAATTTTAATTTTATTTAGTTTTAAATTAATATTTTTAGTATTTTTGAATTATTTTAATATGATAATATTAAAAATAAATATTAAAAAAATATATTTTTTAAAATAACAAATATTTTAAAAAATAACAAACACCACACAAAATATTTTTGAGATGAAAATTGAACCAGCTGTCTTCAAGTACGAGGGGCTGCTATTATGCCGCCAGGGCAGCCCAATTTAAACACGGAACGGGATGGGTGGGCCTTTTTGCTAATGAGGGCAGGAAATGGTGCTGATGAGAAGATATCCAATGGCCTCGAAGGAGGAGGAAGTTTCAAATTACTGGCAGCCCGGTTCTCAACTTCTCATGGACCCTAAAACCACACCAAATCTTAGCGTGGCTCAAAAACTGGAACCCCATGATGGTAAAATGATCTTCGTTGGTCTTCCGAGAGATGACTTCAAAAAAAAAAAAAATTAAGGAAAAGAAATCCAAAGGCTCATGCCTGGTCTCTTCCCTCCCCCCTGGAGAATCGTTAATTGATCCTTTTATTTTGAAAACCTGATATTAAGTTCTTATGTTTCTGTATTTGATTGTAGTTTGGAGTTCGTATTAGTTTTTTTAATTACAAGTAAATTATTATTTTAAAATACTCTCCATTTGTAAAACTAGAAGTGCATTTGAAAAGGGTGATTTCGAGATTTTATTTTAAAAAAAATATATACCTACTCTTCCTCTTTTTTTCTTTTTTCTTTTTCTTGCCTGCATTAACTTATTCTTGTCTTTCATTAATGACTTGTCGTGTCGAGGTGCATTGAATGATGACAAATTAGCTGAGTAACAAAATAAATGTAGATTGGACCTCATTCGTCATGTTTTATGCATTTGAGATTTCTAGTTTTGATCATGGTCCTACACCCTCCTGCTATCCATGACTTGTTTTGATCACTGATGGCATGCTTTAACATTCTGGCATCGACCACGTCGTCGTATTTATTGCATATACTCCCCCCTTATCATTTTACACAGTGATATATTAATATAAAATATAAATTGGTTCGAGCTAAAAAAAAATATAAAATAAAAGCATATTTGATCTGGAAAAATAAAAAGGATTGACTTGCAATTTAGACTTGGACCGATTAAAATTTAATTTTCAACCATTGACTTTATTTTAAAATAATATATAAAAAATTCCTAGAAATTAATTCAAGTGCGCTATAAGAATATGATTTCGGTATTGTCAACTACGAGTATGGGATTTAAATAAATCTCCTTTTAACATCTCCATTGACGCTCAAGGTCTTGTCACGTAGCAACTGTTCCCTTCACCAAATGACATGTTCCTAACGCTATGAGCATGTTCTCGGCGCCATGAGTCCGGATTCAATGCCCTGAACCGGGTTCATCATAGATATGGTCAATCGATAAAGAGTATCGAGCCATGATCGATAAAAGAAAATACAAAGAAAGCGTGTGAAAATACAAGTATCCTTTATAATAAAATATACCCTGGATATCCATTTATTTATTTATTTATTTACTCGTTTACGTGTTTGATTCTTCTTCTTTTTTTTTCGTTTCATTTTTTTTATCCAGCCTTTTATTTTACCATTTTTTTATGCGGATAACAACCACCAACTATCTTAATTAGAAATGATAAATCAGATTATTATAACTAATAAATTAATGGATTATTCAATATATAAATATTATTTTTATATATTTTTATTAAAAAATTAGGTCACTCAGATAAGTGCTTCAATCTCATAATACAAATCTTAAACTGAATCAATTTTCAAGTCGTACATATTGTACTGCAGTATGTGGTTAGATACCAAGTTGCTCATGTAGGGTTTAGAGTTTAACCCATTTGAAATCTCTTAATTATATTTTATCGATGGTTTAATCATGTCAATAGGTCAGCTTCTTAATTTAGATCAACTTCTTTGAATAAATTAACAGGAAATAGTGATATAAATTTGTTTTATTTCCCTTGACAAGGTCCTGATCAACCAAGACACGTATCTTGCTTCCACCCATTGGTTCATAATTTATATATTACATGGAGTCGAGAACCTCCCTGATCGAGCAACAGAGATTGTTCCTTCGACCGTGAACTGCAAATAAAAAAATGAAACTTGAACAATGTGCTCTTCCACTCAACATTAACAATTGAATCCCTGACTGGGGTCTGGTGATGGCCCGAGCACTGGTTAGCCGAGCTACGCAATTAAAAGTTTCAAAACTGGTTCAGCTGATGCAACGAACCCACTTGGGTGACTTGACTGCCACTGTTGCTTTCCACTACCCCATTAAATATCTACTGGAACAATATTATACAAATAGCGCAAGCTGCCATGAAATCAGCCAAGAAAAGAAAAGGATAACATCTATTGTTGACTCCGGTAACACCTCCATTTCCCCGGTCTACGTCAGTACAAGCGTCGACATCGGCAAGGAAAATTGAACCTCTCGAGTTAGACAAGTCTCTCAATAGAGAATAGAGCCCGAGGCATCTCTAGTTTTCTTTTCTGTTGAATAAATCAGGCTTCGCCTCAAGCTCGCGCCCGTTTGTCAACGTAAACTGTGTTTCAAAAAGAAAAAAATGTTTTTTTATTCGAACCAACACTAATTCATTTATGTTTTTCAAATTATTCTTTGTTTGGAAAGAATATTAAAATAATTATTTGTAAAGTGTATTTTGATTCGTTGATTTTGAATTGAAAAAAATATGAAAAATTATTATTTTAATATATTTTTAATTGTATTTATTTTGAAAAAATATTAAATGAATGTTTTCTATGATTTTAAAAATAAATTTAAGAATAAAAAAATATTTTAATATATTTTTGAAAAACATAATTTCAAGATAGGCTAGATCGGGTGACACAAGGCTAAAATAAACTTTCTATATGAGGCACTAGTTACGCCTAGATCCAACCAATAAACAAGAAGCTTTACGAACTGGAAAAGTGTCCAGTTCAAAAGAGTAACATTCACTCGGAAGAATTTAAAGAAAGAAATGATGGTTATTAGAAAATTCAGAAAAGAAAAGACAAGGTGTTGTAGTACTAGCCATCAAGGCATCGAATTGGGGACCCAGATAAAGACACCGTGACTAACGTGATCATAACTAAAGACTCGATGCTCGCCGTTCAACAAACAAAAAGATGCCTCAAGGATTTTAATATTTTTTATATCTTTGAACAAGTAGGATGAATTACGCTTTAAATTTTATTATTTAAATTCGATGATGAATGTAAAATATTTAAGTATTTGCATTAATATAAACTTCATCATATACATTAAATTATAATCATTTAATTTAAATTTATTAGATATAGTGATTATATCGTCTTAGAAATGTATAGAAGATTCACACGCATGATGATTTGACAATCCAAAATCAACTTTTATATGAACATAAGCTTCTTAACGGCTATCGTCCACGAGTTCCTCGTGGAATGGTTCAGTAGGAAGCACCAACGACTCTTCGAAAGTTCCTGTAACTCAAGCAACTATGGACTGTTATTTTATTTTTTTTCAGTTCATACCCCTTTTTTTTCCCCTTCTATTCCATTTTTTTCTTATCAACTTAATTTTTATTTAATTTTTTAAGTTATTTTTTTAACAAGTCAAGTTATTTAAATTATATCCGTACAACTTATCAATTTAATTTTTAAATTTCTTTTTTTTAATTTATTTTTTTAACAACAACTTATCAATTTAATTTTTAAATTTCTTAAAATTACTTTTGAATCAATATAAGCAGTTTAATTTTAAATTTAAATTAGCAACTGCCAATTTTATTATATTTTATCTTAATTTAAGTTTTCTATTAGTCAATTAAGATAAGATTATCTTAGGACAACTCTTATATAAATTAATTTTAATTTTAATTAAATAATTTTTTTTAATTTTATATTTTTTGTTTTTACAGAAAAAGAGTGACAAAGTTGATTAAATTATATCTAGTTAATTTTTATATTATTTAATTTTAAATATGAGCTAAATAAAAAATCAAATAAAATTTTTTTAGTATTAATCTATTTCATTAAATTTAATAATAACATCAAATATTTCTACAAAACCTAAATATATTGTATTATATTATAAAAACAATTATCCAACCCGTCCAATGATCAATTAGGTGAGACACAAAAGATCAAACAACAATATTAAAATCCGCAAAGGAAAACCCGAGTCTGTAACCAGACCCAGTCCACTAATCACACTTTTTACAAGCTCTGAGTTCCAAAGATATTTACAGTTTGTTTTTTCTTTTTTAAAAGTATGCATTTTTTGATCGTATGATTACATATGGGCTTGTGGTTGCGACACTTATCCTGACACATCTGACGTTCTGGCAGCGGCGGCGTTACTGGATCTTGGTTGCCGTAGAAGATCGATCAATGTCTCCGCCTGTCCATAATCATCCAGCACAAACCGACACCAAAACCCATCAACAATAATGCAAAGAGAAAAAATAAAGACAAACGACAGACAAAATATTGTTTATTTGATTGCAATAACGTAATTAATTTCAAAATATTAAAACGAAGCTCAAAACCTAATTGAGGTTGAGTATCATTTTAAAAATATGTTCGTGATAAAAGTGCGGTTAGTTTTATTTTACAGGATTCACATAAAAAAACATATATTTTTTTATTTTTATAAAATATAATTTATACTTTAAAAAAATTAAACCTTTTAAAAAAACCAACCATACCTCTAAAACAAACACACATCCATAATTTAAGTTCAATGCAGGTATACCTAATCATGTAGGAAAATTTTATATTATATAAAAATAACCAATGCCATGAGGTCAATAAACATATTTTAAGATGAACATGTTTTTATTTATTTTTTTTCTCTCTTCTGTGTTTTTTTTTAAATAAACTCAGAATTTTACTACATTAACAACATGAAATTAATTATGAGGTTAACTTCTATTTTTTTTATCTAAAATAATATTATTTTAATTAAAAATCTGATATAATATTTTTTCAAAGTTAATCCAAAATTCCAATACCTAAACCAGATCTAATAACTACATAAACAAACTAATAAAGTTAAATATTTTAAGATAAATGCCAAAAAAAGTGAGCGAAGAGAAAATAAAAACCAATTTCATTTTCTAAAAAGGAGTGAAATTAAAGAAGTGATTGACGTGGCAAGCTAATGATGTACTACCTTCAAAAAGATAACCAACAAAACGACATTGATTCCCAAAACAAGCATGCCACGTCAGTTGCAGCAGAAGCAGCAGACATGAGGTCTGGAACAACCGGAAATTTAGAATTAGGCTCACCTTCTGCTTGGCGCGATTGGTGCCGGACTGTGTCAAAGCCACCAACGCCGGAATCGCTCCTTCTCGAGCCACCATAGCTCGAAACACTAGATTATCTTCGCAAATCTGCAACAATATCGACACCGCGATCTCCTTTTGCCTCTGCGACCCGACTTCAATAATTTCTACCAGAACTGGAATCCCTGCTTCTTCAACAACAGCGGTTTTAGCTTCAGGAACCGTAATCAACAGGCTCAAAACGAACGCTGACTTATCCACCATGTTAGACCCGAAATCAGCCATTAATTCCACCAGTGGTTTCATGATCCCAGCTTGGACGGCCCTGATTTTATTTTCCTTGGCCGAACATAACGAATACAGAGCAGTTGCTGCGTCCTTCTTCCCGCGAAATGCTCCGGTTTCGAGGAGGTTTACTAGCAATGGAATCGCTCCTGACCGGCCGATTGCGACTTTATTCTCTTCCATTTGTGATAAACGAAGTAGAGCGCACGCAGCGTTTTCTTTCGCCGTCGATGTACCGGTTCTCAGAGCCCTAACTAATGGTTTGATCGCGCCTGATGAAGCCATCAATTCTTTATTCTCGTCACATAGTGATAGATTCAAAATCGCAGTGACACCGTACTCTTGAAGCTGAGAATCAGACGATGAAATTAGCGAAATTAAGGGCTTAATTGCACCAGCTTTAGCGATGTTGAGGCGATCCTCTGGTTTGTTCTTGGCGAGGAGTCTGATCTCCATGGCAGCTTGTTTTTGCTCGTCAATCGAACAGGACTCGAGATCCGATACCAGCTGGCGAATTAGATCATCGGGATTCTCCGCTGCGCAGGCTAGTAATAAACGTCGATTTTGAGAAGACGCCGTTTGGAACTCCCCTGATCTGTCGCTGTTACAGTCACTGAAAGCTGAGGAATCGTCATTAACACTCAATTTACTAAAGCTCTTCCCCGTATACTTGAAACTCCCAGAATTCTCCTTCTCCATGGCTGTAATTCTGGTATATAAATTCGGGTTGGATTGAGATTGGTCCGAAATGGATATTCGGGTTGGGTAGGGTCAGTGGTGGCTGGGGTTTGTTTGGGGACGGTGGAGAGAGCTATGTTAGTTAAGAGACGAGGGAAGGTTATAACTTATGAGCGTGGAAAAGATGACAACACCTGGACAAGCGGGGGGGCGTCCTCGGAAGGTGGGCTGACACGTGCACACTTTTGACCACACCAGATCCTAGTCAGCTCCGAGCACGTGCAAAGCATCACTCTTTAAACGCGTGCATGGAAGGCTGGCTTGCCGGTAAAGCTCTTCGGACGGTTTTTTTGGGTGAATAATAAAGCTCTCGGACGTCGAGCTGCTTTTTAAGTTTTTTTGGTTGTTCTTCCTTTGCATCTAGTCCGGCCTCAGTGGTACGCGTGTGGTATGGTATATATTTTGCTCAAATTATATATTTAAAAATATTTAATTAATTAATATGCATTGTATTTTTTTCTCAGACTCCTCTTCAGATTTTAGTAAGAAGAAGAATATGATTTATAGTTTTTTAAAATCTATTTTCAAATGTAAATGCAAATGCAAAAAATATTATAATATAAAACATATATTTAATATTGACTTGGATATTGATGATAGAATTATTGTTGAGCAATCCAAATAAATAAAAAGAAATATAAAAATAAAAAAGGAAGAAGTTAAGATTTTATTGATAGTGCATGATTACAATAATTTAGGAGAATAAGTTTAATCTAAATACAAAAGGATTATATATAGACTAAACTGAAAAGAAAAGAAAAGTATTATTCTATCTTTAATAAATAAAATAAAATAGCCATGTATTTTTTAATATTTCCCCTAAAACTCACAATACAACAATTACAGCTATTGAGAATTTACTAATTAAAAAGCAAAAAGGAAAAATAGAATGTTACTTGGTAAAAAAATTTGTAATATATAAATAAGAAAAAAGAAAGGGCAAAATAATGTTGTCATGCCTGAGACGATGACAAATAAAATACCAATCGATCTCAATATGCTTTATTTACTTATAAAAAGATAAGCTACCAAATAATCTGAATAAAACTTTGATTGTCACGGTATATAGAAGTTAAGTGAGAAAGAGAGACTCTAATATTAGCAAGTAACCAACGCAGTCAAACAATATTTTTATAGTAGATGTCATGGTACAAAATTATATTTCGGTTGAGGATTAAGAACAATAAATTATTTTTTATTCTTTCGAGAAATAAAAGAGACTCCTAAAAAGATACAAAACCTAATAACATACTTGCAATATATGGAATCGTTGTCATGGTTAGTATTAACATATGCACGCAACTCTAAAAAAAAATGAAAGAAGTAAAAGACTCTGAAAGATTGTACCCTTAAAATATCATAAAATACAAAAAACAACCATTCAATGATTAGTAGTAAAAAAAATAATAAATAAACTAACAACTTGAATAACATATGCGATATTTGAACGGGTAGTAATGAGACGTAACAAGCTTCCAACAATAATGTGGTATAAATTAGAATTTTAAAAAAGTAAATCATCAGAAAAGGAATATTATGCATTAATCTCAAAGGGAGTATGTACAATCTTATTACCAATAAGTCTAATCAACTCAAGAATATCTTCAACATGTTTTTTTTTTAAAAAAAAAAAGATAACTTCTATATGAGTAGGCTACCTTAATACCTAAAAAACATAATAGGAAACTCAAATCATTCATTTCAAACCATCTAGCTAGCTCTGTTTTTAAAACTAAAATATAATTATTATCATTATCT